GCTGCCTCCCCTTGGGCCAGCACTGCTCTTAGCCTCTTACGTAAAAGATGTTTGAGAATTGTTATACTCCATTCGGTCTATAATAAGTGACATTTTTACATTTTTATTTTGGTCCAAAATAAATATCCTTTTACATAATCATGAAGGTATTTACTTTGTTTTTTTAAATTTACCCTTATGTACTTATCTCTAAAAGTTCTTTTAAATTACTAACATTAAACAAGTTCAACAATAAATTAAGGATAATTTAGTTAGAATACCTATTTTCTTTTAGGATTTAATTTTTTCGTAATGGCTGTTCCAAAGGTAAAAAAGTCGCTTATTGTGAACCGGAGAGTAAGTATGATTACCAAGGGAGATGGTCAATGGTGAATTATTGAATTATGTGTTCAACTTTCAGATAGGCCACACTTGGCTATTAGGGAGCAACTTTCGGGCTTCTGAGGGCCAACCAATGAAGTTAAGAAAGCCCAAACTCTGAGCAATCTCCATCAATGCGTTTAATTAAACTTTTTTTAAAAAAATTTGAAATTTTAGCTAAATTTTGTAAGAAAAATAACAAGTCTCGTCATTTTTCTCACTTACGTCACCAGTTACCATTATATAGCCCTGTGTACCATTTTTCAGCTTTTACTTCCTTCTTGATCTTTCTTATTTCCCGGTTTCTAATTTCTATGCAACCATAGCTTCTAATTTTTTTATCGTTACTATCGAAAGTCCTATAATTAAAATAAGATAAAGGAAAAGTTTCAGTTCCAGGCAAGTTATATATATAGTACTCCCTCCGGTTCACAATAAGTGTCCAATTTACTTTTTTATCTTGGTTCAAAATAAGTGTCCAGTTATGTAATCAAGAAAGAATTCAATTTATTTTTACAAAATAACTCCTATGTACATATCCCTAAAAAAATTTCTTACTCCTCACATTAAATATTTAATTAGGGGTAGTTTAGTCATAGTAGCTATTTTTGTATAGAATTTAGTATTTCCTTAATGGGCGTGCTAAAAGTAAATTGGACACTTATTGTGATCATATATATCTTGTTAATCTTTTTTACCAATACTATTTTGTTGTACAAGAGAATCAGATAATTGCATTTTGCACAAACAAAATCACTTCTCACTGGGTTCCGAGTGGGAATTAATAGCACAAATCTTTTCTTTGTTTTTCTTTGAAAGAATGAGGATATATAGAGTGGGTTTCATGTGAATTAAAGATAAACTTGTATAATTGAAGTTTACAAAGAGAAGCCAAAAGCTAATTAAGTGGTTTCCAGGCATGCACGAAGTAACGTATATGTACAAGATTCCAAAGTGGTGATCTCCCTTCCCTTTTCAATGTAATAGTTCAAAACCCTCACTATTCAACTCCCTTAGACCAATCTTTAAACAAAGAGAAAGTACCTTTTTTCCTTCTCTCATTGAAAAATCCTTAATATGGAAAAGACCAGCTCAAGAATCTTTGAAGGATATGTCAAAAATTCCAGCATAATCTAATCGTATACTTTTTTGGTTGAAAGTAGTAATAGAAAAATTGATCCCCACATCATAATGCAATGTTTAGTTGGCTATAGAAGAAAAAATCAGTTCTTGCATATAAAAACAATTTTTGCGTTATGATCTCAGCATAATTAGTATGTGAATCAAAAAAAAAACCTCTAAGGACAACCGATATATTCCCTCCATTTCAATTTAGATTAATTTGAGTCGACATGGAGTTTTAAGAAGAAAAACAAAAAATTTTGAAACTTGTGGTCTTAAAAGTTTAAAGGATAAAAGCTTTGTGGGGTTATGACATTTGTTGTTGGGTTTTTAAGCTATTAATGCTTAAAATAGGGTAAATGGAAAAATGAAATATTTGAGTTTCCCTCCTTGATTGTCTCATATGAAAGAGGAAAAGGTTTTTGATAGGTATATAAGCAATTGCTCTTCTTCTAACTCATAAAGATTTGAAAAGAAGGCAAGCTTCGCACCGTCGTCGCTCGCTCGGCTCGGCTTCGGCTTCGGCTTCGATTAAATGATCGATTGATTAACTTTTGGACCAAATTTATTTGTTAATAGTAAATATTGACAGAAATGTTATTAAATATTTGGTTTAATAACAAAATATTAATATTAAAATAAATATTAATATTAAATCCAATTCAGTTATCCAATTTTCAGTTTTCTATTTTTGTAATAGAAAATTAACTACCCTTCAATTTTTCCTCTTTATTGTTGAGTAAATAACCATTTATGTTATGGCATTTATTCTTTGGCCGTTTTGCAAAAAATAGCCGTTCTGAAGAGTTGCACCTCTTCAGATTTCAGCCTGACTTTTGCTATAAATACAAGTCCATTCTCACAGATTTTCCATACGAATTTTCTGAGTTCTTCTCCTTTCTTCTGCATATTTTAACTTCAAAGAAAGCAATAGTAAGTGTGATTTGCTACCGAACTTTGTGTTCGCTGAAACACTGGGTTTGAAGTACCACTACACCAGTGTGTAATTCGTTCTATCCTGGGAGGAAATAATCCATAACCTTGGGTACTAGGAGGGGATTAAATTCCTTAAGGAAACACTGTGAATTCAGTGGACTCGAATTGTTTTTTTTTTATTTCATTTATATTTCTGTTTATGTTATTTTATTTTCTCCAGAATTGTTTTACAAATACAGATTGATAACATTAATTGTGTGGTTATAAAAGCTTCTTACTAAGAGTAAAATAGTAAAATAAATAATTTAAAATTAAATTATTTCCAATTGTAAAAATATGTCATTCTTTTTAGAACGGACTAATAAGAAAAATGTGTCACCAAATTGAAACAAAAGGAGTGGTATAACTTTTGAATTTTTGCGTAGGGACAAACTCTTTCTTCCCTCTTTCAAAATGGATGACAAAAAACTCATGATCTTCTGGATATAAAGAGAGAAAATAATTGTGCACGGAATTATTGTGATTTGACAAACTATTTAAAGTGCACAGAATGATTGTGATCACGAGCTGGTATATATTGTTTTCTTCTTGTAATATAGCTCCTCTACATGGTTGTATTTCGATGGATGATTGAGATGAGGGAGGACATGCTACCTGATAGTGTTTAAAATCACATGTGGAGCTAGTGCATAGGTTATAGGTTCGGCTAAACTAACTTTAGTCAAATTTCTGTATTTGTCATAAGAAATTTATAGATTATGTACATATTATTAATTTTAAGACCAATACTCGTAACTTACAATGACTAAAATTTTAAACTCATAAACTTTAAATTTTGACGCTGCCTTTATTTAGAGACTTGAAAGGATGAATTTCTCTCTTTATTTTTTGATAATAAGAATATTTATTAAACACACCAAAAGTGATTACAAACTGGGACTACTCTAGGGCACAAAGTTCCTAACTTGTTCGTCTTAAAGATGGGAATTTCTCTCCCTTGTTTTAATGCTATTGACAAACAAATTTTAACATTAAAATATGATCCGTTCTTTCTAAACAAGAAGATCACCAAGTACAATATTTGTTTTACATTTCTCTCTATAATTTTAGGCTAGTTTGATAGTGTTGTGTCTTAGGCTGCTAGTAGCCCCTATTGTGTTCATATTACTTCATTAGGGTTGCAGTTTAAGTTGTAGGAGGCTTGTTTGATAGTATTTTGTCTTAGAATGCTAGTGGATCTTGTTATGTCCTTATTGCTTCCATTATGTATGTAGTGTTATACCATTGTTACTATTTATTGTTATTAGTTTTCTTTCTGTTGTCGGGTTTATCACGGTGTTGATGTCATTTTTCCGATTTCCATTGATGCTACAACTCCACTGTCCTTTACCACCGTCGTAAACCGAGGGTCTATCGGAAACAGCCTCCCTACTCTTCCGGAGTAAGGATAAGGTCTGCGTACACACTACCCTCCCAAGACTCCACTTGTGAGATTCCACTGGATCATTATTATTATTGTTGTATTTCTCTCTATAATTTCCTAAAGTTAATAACACAGGCAAGCAAAATGATGTAGATTTAATCTAAAGAGATGTGCAACAAGCACATGACCATTCAGAATGACAGCTGAGCATATCAGTTTGACCCAACTTAGTTACCATTTTACCAGCAATACTTATGTACTGTCATTACCATTTACCGCATGTTCTAAAAAAGGCTTGACTATGCTAATTTGACTAGATGTTAAATCCTTAACTTTTGTTGGTGGGGTCATTATCCTTTTTCTAATATATGCTTGTACTTATCCATACAAAATCTACCTTTTTTTTAATTTCTGATCCGATATTCGGTACCCACATTGGAATCCGACTCAGAGGCGGACCAAAGTGTATGGGTGAAGGGTCATCGGACCCCGTAAACTTCGGATGAAATTCTATATATATATATATACCTTGAAAATGGTTAATTTAAAGCAATTGCACCCTAAACACTAAAAGCCTTTAGGGGACAGTGGTTGAGCAGAATAATGTGCCCCGTCGCGTAAAATTCTGGGTCCGCCCCTGGCCCGACTAATCCGGATTCGCGCCGGAAAGTCCCATAAGGGGGTAAAGCGCTCCTTAACAAAGGCGACTCCATACCCAAGGGCCCGAACTCGAGATCTCTAATCAAGGATGAAGAAGTACTTACAAAATCTGCCTTCATTATTGTGAGTTGTGACCCTTGTAATTGCAAGGATGAACTCAAAATGTATGTTAATTATAATTGTTAAAAAATTTAATTAATTCATTGAGAATTCTTGCTTTAGTTGGTCTGTGTGCGTATGAAGTTGTGTTTTCATTTATTTATTTTTTCCGTTTGAGGTTTAAAAAGCTGAAATTTTGTATTAGGAAAAGGTTTTCAAGATTTTCTAGAAAGCAACTTTTCATATATATCAGAATTTGCATCCCTTTATATTTGTATAACTAAAAACTACTACTAGTAAATACGAATATGATTTACCAAAATAACAGATTAAAAATTATACTTATACCAGAAAATTTGGTGACAGGTATTCAATTTAACTCTTGAAAGGCTTTTTGGCATGGTATAAAAGTAGTACAAAATCTATCAATAATTCAAATTTTGAGAAAGAGAAGATAAATAAGTTGAAGGAAAAAAAAAAATAGAAACACGATCTAATTCTTTGTTATTGATGACACTAAATAAACTGAAAAAAAATTAAAAAGAAAAAGAGGACAAAAATTCATTTACAAAAAAAATCTAAAATCTTTTTAAACAGTAATAACTCACTAGACAGTAGTTGGTTGGAGTAAATTGTTATCAGTAGGTAAATGAATCTGAGGTTGGATCTGCAGACTTGTCAATTTAACCGCACCTGATCTCCTCTTCCATAAACCACCATCCTCCGGCGGCGGTTTAACCTTCTTCACCACCGGCAACGGCGGATCCAGTTCACCAACATTAATCACTTCAACAGCTCCCTTAATAATTCTACCTTTATCATTAATAGTAGATTTTCTCGAACCACCCACAGTAACAGTAACACTTGTCTTCAGTTCTCTATTATTACCAGCAGTAAAATTCTTGCCGGAGAACAACTTCTTCAGCTTAGTGTACTTTACTCTGGGATTTACAGGACCGGATATGGCGGTGGAAGAAGTAGTGGGCCGATACGGAGTTGGAAACCCAATGACTTTGTTATTTCTCTTGACTTGGCCCATACAGCTGACTTTTGGGGAAGAAGGTTCGTTCAGATTATCTCCAGAAGAAGAAGGATTCTGTAACTTAACATCTTTTATGGAAAGTTTACAAAGGATTGGGAAAAAGAAACTGCCGCTACTATTGCGAATGTGGTGATAAAGCTGCTGTTGTTGATGATGATGTTGATTGTACCCATTTCTCATACTGTAGATTTTCTTCCGAATTTTCTACTGAAGTTTTCTAGTCTTCTCTTTATGTTGGTTGGTTTTTGTGTGTATAGTGATAGGTGAGGGAAAAGGGAAGGAAGAGTATGTGAAGAGCAAGAGGAGATTGCTCAATTAATGCTCGTCTGCATTTTTTATATTTTACTTTATTAGTAAATGTACTAAACTACTAATTACTACTCACTCCGGTCCAAAATAAGTGATTTTTTGGTCTTTTTTTGTGGTCCAAAATAAATAATTTTTCCAGATTTCAAGAATGAATTAATTATTTTTTTCCTACATTGCCCTTGGAGTAAATAGTGTTGGAGTGTGTGTTAAGAGTATTTACGTGAAGAGATAGTAAAGGTTAATATGGTCAATTTTATTACTAATTAATATTAAAAGGTGAATTTCTTAATCTGTGTGAAAATAGCTAAAAAATTATTTATTTTGGATCGGAGGGAGTATTTTTATTTTTTTTTCTTTCTTCCAAATTTGTTTCATTTATGGGTCAAAGGTCTGGACAGACTCGGGTCTCGAAGTAATTTCCTTTCTTTTGTTACTTTTCATTAAAAGTAGGAGTTAGATAATTCTTTTTTAGGTGAAAACTTATTACTCCTATGATCTAGGATAATAGCCCTATGAATAGGCTACTCCAGTAATTGATGGTAAATTTTTTTAATTCAATTTTTGTAATTCATCTTGACAATGCAATGGAATATTTATAGTATCATCACAATTTAACTTGTTATAGAAAGTTATTAGTTTTTTTTTAAAGGAAATTGTTAATTCTACTTACTATGAGTAATTAACTACAATAACCTTTCAAGTAATATAATAGGGTAAAGAAATATAAGTTTCCTATTTTTATAGGAATTAAAGGGATTATTTCAAACTGTTCAAGTAGGCCAGAGACGATCCAGTCAAAGAAATTTAACTTTCAAATATGTATTATTCGCAAAATTTGTTACCATAAAGAAAAAGGAGCGGTGAAATCTCTCAAAATGCAAAACTTCAATAATCAATAATTGCTAAACAGGAGTCTTTTTTGACATTATCTTCATGGGTATAAAGATTGACCATATTTTTCAAGACTTTATAGATCTGTTTTAGAAGTCATATATTGTTGCTAATATTATGTCAGCATTGTAAGTCAAGTTAGTGAATTCACTTTGGATTCCTCTGTAAGACCATTTCATACAAATATATAACAAACAAAAAGACAGAATGTAGCATTTTAAAAAAGAAAACTATTAGTAGGTCTGTTATTACATTGTTCTATTGGAAATTGAGTAAAAAATTGGGACCACTGATTTGTTGTTTCCACCATGTTTGCATGCATAGAACCTACTTTATGTTTTTCCTTTGTAGGCTACAAGTACTGAAGTTAAAGTAAAAGCTATTTAACAAACCTTTTGAGGAAAAGAGCAAAAGTTATCTTTTTTATGTGCATAAAGTTTACAAGTAAAAATGATTTTGTCTCCTTGCTTGGATTTAAAGTACCACTTTTGATTATATTGACACTGAGAAATACACTTTTTTGCCCAGGACTTCCATTAAATTTACTCCGTTAAAAAATTATATTGTACAAATATCGTAAAAGTAATTTTTTATCCAAACTATTGAATCCCAACTATTTGGCTCAAAAGTTAACGATGTACTTTGTAAGCGATAAAACAATCAAAAAATAGAGAAGGGGTAATCGTAATCAAATATAATAAACCTAGAGATGCAAAGATGATAATATTGTTGTAGATCTAGTGTTGCAAAGATGATAATGTATGTTCATAAGATATTTCGTCAGATGTAGAGATATAGAGAGAGAAAGACAGAAAGGAGAGAGTTGTATTAGACAGCTGCCTCCTTTACAATGTGGAGGTCCCCTTTATATAATAGGAGACCTTCCTCGAACGAATCAAAAAGTTACAGAGATAGGTAACGTCTCCCTAGTGTAGACGCTGAGTTCTAAACGACGTCGCTTTGGTCCTTACGGCCGAGTCGTACCCGCTACGTTTAGTCGGCGTACACTCATTGGGCATACCTACTGGCGTAGAGATACTGAGGGTCAAATTTGACCCTATACAGTTAGTCCCTCCGCTCGTTGGAAACGTGTTTGGTGGGCGTCTTCGGCGGGCGGAAATGCGAACCTCGTCTTGGGAGAATTTGACCTCGACCGGGGGGCGGCAATATGAATGAAGTGAAACATTTGACACTGTCGAGCCGCTGACGCGTGGCTTCCTTTTTGGAATGATGTCATCGCCTGTATGCATCATCATTATGTTTGCCCCCGAGGCGGTTCAGAGGATGAAGTGACGTTTTGGTTTCCGGCGCACGTTTTGAATCACGACTCTCCGATTTCTGTACAATTTATCCTTATAAGTATGAGAAGGGTTTGATCTGATCCCACTTTCAAGCCTCTGAAAAGTGTTTTCCGATACATCCCTTTGCCTTTCTTTCCTATAACTGTTATTTCGTGAAGGACGTCCCACATCTGTTGAAGTCACACTTCCTTTTGTCAGTGCTTCGTTTCTCAAGTAGTATTATCATGGCAAAACGCGGAAAAAATAATAAAAAGGCCAAGGATAATATCCCGTCTAGGGTTCCGCCATCTTCTGGTGGTGAAGGGGAAAAGCGGAGAAGGCCCTTGTTC